GTTTCTGCTCTTTTGTCTCTGATGATGGATTCGAGTAGGAATCCGAAACGTCAGGCTAATAAAGCTCTTGTCCCGGCGATCGTGTCTCCTTTTTCAAGACTACTTCCTGGGACTCGGCTCTTCGCTTCTATTGGCGAGGAGTTTCTTATCAACAGGTCGCGGAGTTTTTGTCCCAGACACCAGTTATCATCGGCTAGGCCAGGGCTTGCTCTGACGTTGGTAAGGTGTCCCTGAGAGGGAAAGAGAGGGAGAGAAATAAAGAGAGGGAGAGAGAGAGGAGGATCCGAGCCGCCCGCCCCCTTGTGTGAAGACATGGCGAATTGTGCGGGGACAGAGGGCGCATGGCACGCGTAGAGGGGCTCTTGAAGTTCTGCCGCCCAATCGCAGCACGAGGTTGATGTCAGGCACAGACAGTCAAATGGTGCATTGAGGAAGTAAGAGTGAATGAAGTCGACATTATAGAATTCATTCCCACGGCGCGTCAGCACATGCATTACTATAGAAGTCTTACGCAATTCAATATATTAAGACGCGATAAAAGTCGTGACCTGAAGGTCTGCCAACCGGCAGGGTAGATCTATCATCTCCAGGTGGAGAGTCAGGCTGCAATGACTCCTTCTAAATATAGCCTTGCGCTGAAGTACTTGACTACTTGACCTTTGACAATCTTGTCACGTTTGTTTTACTGTAGCATTTGTTTTAACGTGACAAAGACTCCGCCGCTTGTAGGCTTCGCGCAGATTGCGTGCTCTCTGCTCAGGTCGTTGCACATGTTGAATATTAACTTTATTCACTTACTGGCCTTCCTTACCTCTCTCCGTTTATGAGGTTAGTAAGCCGTAGTTCGTTAGTTCGCGGAAACGACATAACTTACGTCATTGGTGACTCCCGACGTTAGCGCAGACTTAAGTTCTTTCCTTCTGTAACATTTAATGCCATTTAACGTCCTGTATTTATTTGCTAAATTTTCGTTCATTTACATTTCTCGCTAACCTTTTCACAATATTGTACTACCTATATTTTGCTTATTATGTCTTCCTCAACTCAACAACCTGACGTTCCTGCCGAGTCTGTTCATGCCGTTCATTTCACTTTGCCTGATTTCTGGCAACACGCCCCTGAACTTTATATTATCCGCATTGAGTCAGCCTTTTACTCCGCCAACATTACGAAGAAGTTGTCGAAATACCACAAACTTGTGGAGGTTCTCCCTGCCAATATTATCTCACAAGTTCAACCCTTGTTAGTGAAACCCCCTGCAGACGCTCCCTATTCTGCTCTGAAGGCGGAAATCCTTCGTCTCAATGCTGTATCTGACCGACAACGCTAGCACCAGTTGATCAAGGAGGAATCACTGGGCGATCGGAAGCCCTCAAAACTTCTACGACGAATGCGTACTCTCTTAGGAGACATGCAGGTCGACGAGAAACTCGTTAAAGAGATGGTTCTAGAGCGGCTGCCTGCAGATGTCCAAACGATTTTGGCATCCGGCTCGCAAGACCTTACACTTTCACATCTTGCTGAAATGGCAGACCGAATGATAGAGGTTCAACGGTTCCAGTCACCTTCCGTTGCACAGATTTCCACATCCTCTTCAACGGTTAACGAGCAGTTACTGCAACAGATGTCAGCTATGGCGAATGAGATAGCCTCCCTAAAACTACAGTTTGCTCGCATTACCTGTAGTCACTCACCCAGCCGTCATCGTTCACGTTCGCGACCTCGCACAGCCAATTTGTGTTGGTATCACACAAACTTTGCCGCCAAGACTCGCAAATGTTCTTCCCCTTGTTCATTTAAACCGAAACAGGGAAACCAACCAGCCAGAGAATAGACGCGACCGTTTTATCTGGCTCTCCCAACTCTGGTCGCACTTTTTATGTCTGCGACAATGTGACTCGTAGGCGTTTCCTGGTGGACACCGGAGTCCAGATCAGCGTGGTTCCCCCCACTCCAGTTGACCGCCGCTGTCCCAGCCCTGGTCTACATCTCCAAGCTGCAAACTGTTCCCCCATTTCCACTTTTGGTAGTCGTTCCCTAACGCTAAACATTGGTTTACGTCGATCATTCTCCTGGATATTTGTGATTGCCGATGTGCCTCATGCGATCCTTGGTTCCGACTTCCTAGCCGAGTTTGATCTCCTTGTTGACTGTCGGCGTTCCTGTCTCCTCGACCGCACAACTGGTCTTTCTGTCCGCGGTCTTACACCCTTTACTGACTCCTGCAATTTATCTGTTCTGGACACAGGTATTGCTTGCCCATACCGAGACCTGCTCCTCCCCCCAATATAATCAAACCTCAGTTTCGCAGTGGTGAGATCCAGCATGACGTTGTCCACCACATTCGCACCTCTGGCCCCCCCAGTATTCGCACGGCCTAGACGACTGGCTCCGTCCCGTCTGCAAGCGGCGAAGGCCGAATTTGAGCACATGCTGCAATTGGGCATAATTCGGCCGTCCGAGAGTCCATGGGCGTCCCCTCTGCATATGGTGCCCAAGGCGACATCAGACGACTGGCGACCCTGTGGTGACTATCGCGCCCTCAACAATGCGACCATCCCGGATCGTTATCCCGTCCCTCATCTTCAAGATTTTGCTGGAGCTCTTTTCGGCAAATCGGTTTTCTCGAAGATTGACCTTGTTCGGGCCTTCCATCAGATTCCTGTCGCTCCTGAGGATGTTCCCAAAACTGCCGTCACCACACCATTCGGCCCTGACCTTTGACAATCTAGTCACGTTTGTTTTAGTGTAGCATTTGTTTTAACGTGACGAAGACTCCGCCGCTTGTAAGCTTCGCGCCGCTTGCGTGCTCTCTGCTCAGGTCGTTGCACATGTTGAATATTAACTTTATTCACTTACTGGCCTTCCTCACCTCTCTCCGTTTATGAGGTTAGTAAGCCGTAGTTCGTTAGTTCGCGGGAACGACATAACTTACGTCAGCCTCCTTGGCGCTCCTGTGGCAATCCGCGCATTTCTGCCCTCCACCGCTTTGTCATGCTGTCCTTCTGTCGGCCTCATGCACCCTGTCGATTTACTGCTGGGACCACGCAATGTCTAGTCATTAGCCTTGCGTGTGTTCGAAGCCAATCAACGCCGTCCCTTCCCTGATTGGCTGGGGCACGCTATGTTGTCGGAAGATAGCACAATCACGATGTCGAAAGGCGCACTGCCACGGCGGGAAACGTCTCAAGTCGCCCACCGGATCTGATCTATCTTCGGAAAAAGCAAAGGCGTCAGAGAGACTGAAGGATTGCCGCGGGCGCGAATGGACGAACATGCAGCAGCAAAGAGGGGGAATGGCGTTAGCCCTCAGATCGCGGCTCATTTGACTGGACGTGGCCGCTCCTTCACGTTTGGGGAGACCGAAATTCTCGCAAAAAATGACAGCCGCATGAGCCGTGAGCGGCTTGAGTCATGATTTACCGATTCGCGGTCAACTAACAAACGCAACGACCTACCGGTCCCAAATTCTGTATTGAGACTTTGCCTGAGTAGCTTAATTAGCCACGCAAGAGGGCGCTGGGTATCCACAGTCCCAGTGGCAGCGAACCATTACGCGAAGACGGCGGTGAAATCGCGGCGGTTACCTACTCGGATGCGGACTAACAGGTCGCCATCGCTTCAAATACGACCCCCCATCCACGAGCGCATGTACTACTTATTACCGTAAGCGTGTGAGGGGATGCCTGCTGAATCCCATGGATATTGTACTACCCGTACCTCTGTCACCAAATCCCTGGTGATGGTTTGAGCGAAAATCCTAACACATCAGGTTAACAAGCTTCTAAATCGCCTATTCACTTCTCTCGTCAAACATACGCAGCTTGTAATGCTAGTAATAGCATATTACTAAATTTAAATCGTCGCTCCAACCTCCTGATGCCAGGGTGGGTGCACAAGGTACACGACGCACTCACAGCCTATGCCCCCCCTCCTCCTCGCCCCCCGAACCCAATTACCACGACACGCCGACCACGCCGACCACCACGACCTCGTCATGCGAGTGGCGTGGGAACGATCGATGTTAATTGTCCCGAATCATTTATAAGTCATGTAATTCGCATAACTTAAACTTCATTGTAACCGTTTTGGCCTGATGAAGAGTTACTGAAACCACGTGTTCGCCAATTTGACTTTTCAAATTTAAATCTCATAGTCGTGATCAAACGTATCACCACGAGTATAAAGAAAGGTCATAGCGGTTCGCCAAGGGAGGCACATTCCCAATAGCTTTTCTTCTTGCATACAACTACTTAGCCTAATCGCCTGTGCGTTCCCCGGTCCCGCCTGTAAAAACCCCTATTACCTCCGGCCCCGTAGTACAGGTGGCTGGGGGGTTGTTTATTTCAGGTGGGGCTACCAAACCACGTCCGACCTTGTGCCCATCTAGCTACACTCCTGAACGTGCGTTGTGGACTTGTACCTTCTTGAGAAGCCGTAGCTCGAAAAAGTGGATGGTTAACGGCCTGTTGCTCTTTCTGTGACCGCTAACCCTCCACCCATCTCCCTTTTAACACGAATTTGTAGATGTGAGGCAGTAGTGGGGAAGGACACTGTTTGCATCCTGATACCGACTCGAGCGCTTGAGTAAATGGTCACTGGCGACCACCAACAGGCGACTACAGTCAGACAGATGCAGTACTAACTGAGCGTCCCTCTGGGATC